TTTGGCAGCTCTGCGTGCCCGTGCATCGAGAAGAGGCTCCTCTCTTCATTCTCTTCACTTTGAGGAGCTTCTGGAGGTTCTGAAGGCCCTGGCTGAATCCCTGCCTTGGCACCACATCTTCTCCAGCCTCCTCATTATCTGACTTGAGTGCCAGCTGCACAGGCTGCTGGCACAGCACCACCACCGCCTCCTCATTGTCAGAATCAGCTACAATCTGCACAGGCCACTGACGGGCCACAACAAAAGGTTGTAAATTGGGGCAATACTCACTTAACAACCGTCTTGCCTAGCAACAGAAATTTTGGGCTTAATTATGATCATAAGTCAAGGACTGGGACTGTAATCTTCCAGTCCAGCTAACATTTAAACCAATTAAACTTTCTGGGCATTTTTAAAAGCAGTTCTAACTTCTATGTCTATATGTGCTTCAGGGTCCAGCTACTGTAACTGTTGTAGTATGTCTCAGGGAATGTCAGTCCCTCAGAAAGATTTCAGTAAAGTAGATTGAATTGGTTTACACTGTTTTCTTTCACATTGCACTGTGTGCCTTGTAGATGGAACTCTTCAGTCTTCATTGATGTTCCTCTGAAATAAAGTGATTCTACACTTTGTATTATCCCAAGTGGTTACAGAGGTTTCAAGTGGTATCATGGCGCTATAGAGAATGCCAGCTTATCTACAGAAGTCTGTAGCTTGTTCGTAGTCACTCCTATCTACCCTGCACTCATTCCCCACCACCACCTCAGTATAATAAGCCCGTCAGTCTAGGAAGCTTCACATGTTTAATTAAATGGTTTCCAAAGCTAATCTGTTTAAACTGAATCGCAATGATTCAGAATGTGTTGAAATCATTTTAACTACTCATGAAAGCTACTGAAATCACTCATCCTAATTTTCTATCTTTACCTGGACTATTGGCTGGATTACCTGTGGTATTATGCCATATTTCTGTTAAATGAGATTTTTAATTTAAACATTAGCCACCAATCTGGCCAACGTGGTTCAGCAACATTCCGTGGCTTAAAAACTCTAGGTTTATTGTTATATCTGAATGGAGCAGTGCTGAGAATGGTAAACACTGCCTACAGAGATTGTTTTCAGACTCAGAGCAGATGTTTGACCCAATGTGACATATTATTGTATAAATCAGTTGATACCAATAGCACTGATAGTTTGGGCCCTGGGTGGAGATTGTGGGTGAAAACAGCTTAAAATACTTGGGAAGCATGGTCTCAAGTAATAGGTTTTGGACAAAGAAGTTCTGTGTGGTTTTTAATGTAGATCAATAGTTATGACTTTTAAAACAGGGGCAAAAATGCAGTCCTTCTGATAATTTGACCAATATTATTTTGGATCCAACAGTGTGTTCAGAAGGAGTACAATAGAAATGACAGTAGTATATTTAGTTTGGCTGGTTCTAGTCAAACAAGAGCAGAGTCAGTGGTCTGGATTGGATGAAAATAATGCAGGTATGACTCAAATGTCAGGTAAATTAGGGAAAATTTGTGAAGCCATGCCTGCTACTAGTATAGCTTTTTCTTTCAGTGACAAAGCTGAATGTTGAAAAGTTCAAAGTAGTACTAGTTGCAAGGTAGCCAGGCTATTTTACGACCAAAGCATTTAAACTTTGTTAGACTGAAAAAGTATAATTTACTGCTGACAGCACAGTTTCAATTTGTGGATCATTTATATACATTTTTATAGCCACCCAGTCAGTATATGGCTCAAGGTGGCCTCCATCGCCAACTAACAGTAATGAATTTCATACCAACCGCATAATAGAAAACATAAAATAAACCAAAACTGAAAATATGCACACAAAGTGCCAAGACAAACACATCCAGTGGATCCTACCACACCCAGATTTGATGTCTGGGGGTAGTGGAAACGGGGAGGAAAAACAGGTTTTTTAATGTCTTCTAAAATGCAGGCCAGGTGGGGCCAGCCAGATCTCAGGGACAATGCTGTTCAAAAGGATAGAGTAATGATATAGAAAGTACATCTCATGACATTGCCTAAGTGACAGGATTCAGAGCATGCCATCTCTCTCAGATCTTACTGAACGTGCAAAAATGATCGAAGGCAGAGTCTCACAATATTCCGAGATTAGATAGATAGATAGATAGATAGATAGATAGATAGATAGATAGATGATAGACAGACAGACAGACAGACATGATAGTGTCAACTCTTAGTTGCAGATTTTTTTTCTAGGAGTGTCATATATGTTTCCAGTAGACCTTCAGTTCTTCCAACAGTACATCTATCACAACTGTAACTAAGCCCATCCACTTTGCTGCTGCTCTCTTCTTCTCTTTCCTTCTACCTTTGTTAATATTACAGTCTTCGCTAGAGAACTAGGTCTTGGCATAATTAGAACTCTGGGTTGAGTTGTTCAGTGATTGATTTATTTGTTTTCTTGTCTATTGTGGTATTCTCCAGCACCAAAATTCAAAAGCATCAATCTGCTTCTTCAAAGTCCTTTATCTAAACGTATGTATGTATGTATGTATGTATGTATGTATGTATGTATGTATGTATGTATGTTTTGTCTTTGGTTATTCGGATTTTCTCCCGCGTAAAATTTTAAAGACCTACATACAAATACCTGCGAAAACCTCAGAAAACATATATAGATAGATAGATATAGATATAGATATAGATATAGATATAGATATAGATATAGATATAGATATAGATATAGATATAGATATCCATCCATTCAAATCTATAAAAACATCTGATGAAAAGGGGCAGTCCTATTCAAGTTCAAGAATGTATCTTGTGTAGAAGCTGCCTAGCCATATCATTAGAAGCCCATGCAATTCCCAATTTGTGTCAAATTATGTTGAAAAGAAATTCCTATGTATACACATAGTCTCAAAATAACACTTTTGGGAGTGTGAGTTTATGGCAATAAAAAGAATTCCTGAGTTTAATCCATATAAACTGCACTCTTTTTTTAAAAAGAGAACAAAATCTTGCTATTAAAATAAAAAATATATCCCTATCAGGGAATGCTGCAAGTGGCCTAGGATCTATGGAAGATAATGGTTTCTAAATAGTATCTTGAGTTCATTATTTATTGTATAAATACAATACTTTACTGTGGATTTATTTTTATGTAGCGTATACGGCATATATATATATATATATATATATATATATATATATATATATATATATATATATATATTTTCTCAGGTTTTCGCGGGGTAGGTTTTGTATGTAGGTCTTTGGTTATTCGGGTCTTCTCCCACGTAAAATTGGAAGTGTCTTGGCGACGTTTCGACGAAGTCTCATTTGTCATCTTCCGAGAACACCAGCCTGAAGATGACGAATGAGACTTCGTCGAAACGTCGCCAAGACACTTCTAATTTTACGTGGGAGAAGACCCGAATAACCAAAGACCTACATATATATATATATATATATATACACACACACACACACACACACACACACACACACATACTGTGGATATTTGAATGTAAGTGGGGAAAGAACTCATTCCTAGTAGTCATCAAGTTTATATTTATTTATTTATTTATTTATTTATCAACAAGTACAAGGAAACAAGTATCAGTATAGACATAGACATGGGCACATGAAAAAATGGCACAAATAAATGGATATATATAAGCAAAACATAGCCATAAACACATAAAATGAGTACATACAAATGGGGACAGTAGGACAGGAATGGTAGGCACACTAGTGCGCTTATGCACGCCCCTTAGGGACCTCTTAAGAAACGTGTAAGGTCCACGGTAGACAGTTTAAGGTAAAAGGTATGGGGGTTAGGGAAACTAACAACTAACAGGATCAGGTAGAGTGTTCCAGACATTCACTACTCTATTGCTGAAGTCATATTTTCTGCAATCAAGTTTAGAGCGGATTACATTTAGTTTGTATCTATAGATAGCCCTTGTGTTATTGCACTTGACGTTAAAGTAGTCATTAACAGGTAGGACGTTATGGTAGATAATCTTGTGTACTAAGCTTAGGTCGGAATGTCGATGGCATAGTTCAAGGTTATCCAGGCCTAAAATTTCAAGCCTGGTGGTATAAGGAATTTTATTGCGAGCAGAGGAGTTGAGTACTCTTCTTGTAAAATACCTCTGGGCCCTCTCTAATGTATTAAGTTAGTTCTGGTCAGTTGAGTCCAGAATTCTGGTTGCTAAATGGTGGTTATTAAATGAGTCATGTCCAATTTTACAAGTTGTTTTAATAATTCTTAACTGATTCTTAATTCTTCAGTTAAGTGACTCCTGTGGTCGTTAAGCGAATCTGACATCTCCTATTGACTTTGTTTCTCAGAAGATAGCTGGAAAAGTCACAAATAATGGTCACATGAACCCAGGACACTGCAGCTGTCATACATACAGGGTGGTTGCCAACTGCCCAAATTTTGATCTCATGTCATAGTTGTAAGTGAAACAATTGTCACTTTTTTGAGTGCCTTTGTAAGTTCGAACTGTCACTAAATGAATGGTTGTAAGTCAAGGACAACCTGTATGCTTAAGTATGTTTTTTAATCTCATAAAGCAACTTAGAATATTAAAATACTTATTAATACAATGTACATACTTATATTGTGCTAGGATGGGAGTCTTGATTAATGAAAGCTTTACTCCTTTGGGGTACATGTAGAACACCAACTGACAGTAAAGTTTTCAAGTGTGACTATTTGCCTTTATCATTGCCACTGTACGTGAACATTTCAAGCATCATTATCTGTCCACATTTCCTTGGATGAATGCACTGCCTCTTCTGTGGTCTTTTAAACTTTGAATTAATATGTATCTATGTTGATTATAGGTACAGTAAGGAGGAAAATGCATGGTATAAGTGTCTTTGATACAATAAAGCTATGTGGTATACATATCTTTGATGCAATAAAGCTAAGAGACCTCAGAAGAACAGGGGTTGTGTTTAATATCTGAATTTCTCTATCCCATTTCACACATCATCTCTTGATAAATCTGTTTATTTTGCAGCCCCAAGGCAAGCCGATATCACCCTTCCTCTGCAACAGCTGCCTCCGTTGTCATTGAGCGTATACAGTTGTCTTCATCTTCAGCATCTCCTCATGCCAATGAAGAAGATAGCCTTCCTCCACACCTTCTGCTACCAGACAGCATCAGCCAGCTAGAAGAATTTGGACGGCAGAAAAACTGGCACAAGAAACAATATAAAATCCACCGCCAAAGGAAATTCAATGATCTCTGGGTTCGGATAGAAGAAGGGTAAGTATCCTGTGCTTATTTCCAGTAACCCTGTCATCTGTGCTGCTTTGAAAGGACAAGAGTCCTTAGGTCCACATGGAAAACTCTTGTAAATTAATCTCCTTAATTCATGACAGGGATATAAAATCTGAAAGAAACTCTACAAATATAAATTGTTTTTAGATTCAGTTCATTCTCAACCGCTTCTTATAATCTTCATTGCTTTAAGTGTAAAATCAGGAAAAGAAGACAATAAACAGAGCATAAGAACTCTCAATTATAAATCTGTTTATAAGTATTATTTACCTGTGAGGGTAAATAATAATTGATGTCTGTCCCTAGCTTCCTATAAAGCTGAAGGCTTTATTTTTGTACTTCTGTTTCTTAAGTCTGAGGAGCAAAGTTTTCTTTCCTTGCCAGCATGTATGCTCTCCACTTGAAAGGATAAGAATGCAAAAAATGACATTTTTGTAGTATGTGAACAATAGATACTCAATACCAAAGGAAAACATCAATGCTAACTATCAAAGTGCTTTGGCAGGTCTTTTAGCCTAAACATTTGCACAGACACAGAGAGAGGGAGAGAAGGGGGGCAAGGGAAACGAAGTGGGAGAGAGAGAGAGAGAGGAGGAAGAAAGGGGGAGAGAGAGGGAAAGAAAGGGAGGGAGGGAGGAAGGGAGGGAGAGAGAGAGAGAGATGTAATACATGTACAAGGAGTGATTAAAAGCATCTGCAATAAACTGCACTAATTGTAGTCAGAAATAGTAGCTCTTATCAATTGTGCTAGAATTTCAGACATTTTGCCCTTCCTTTTTAGACAGTGCAGTGATACAAAGCAGAACTGTCTGTCATGATGAATATTTAATTATACTAAGTTGATCCTGTAAGGTGAATTTTGCTCTTGTGAACTCATGAAGTGTGCTGCTTTTGTGTACTCTCGCTTCCCCAAAGAGCCACGGAGCGTGGGGTTTCTATCAAAGAGGAATGGGGAGGTATATATATGTGCATGTGTTAATTTATTTAAAATAAACTGCCCTAGTTCTGCATCAGGTTCATTAAATTAAGTTTTAATTCAAAACATTATGTCATCGGTGGGGAAACGACAAAACCTAATTAAGACTAGTCTTCTATACTTGCAAACTTCCCTGTTTTCAGGAGCTCTGCCTCATCAGCATTTTCAATCATACCAAAGTTGATTCACTATTTCATCTAATCATGCTTATTTATCAGCCCTTCAGTTCTTCATGCTCAATAAGGAAAGAACCTTAGAGCTGTTGGGAGCAGAGAGATGCTGAAATTTGCATATGTTTCCTTTCCCTAAATACCCTTTGAGCCCTCACCTCTACAGAATGAATGACTGCACAGGATTGGGCACAAAGAAAGGTCTTCAGATTATTTTTGGATATGATTGCCCAGTGACATGCCAGAAGTTTTGGATGTTATATTGAAACTTACTCATCTCTTGAACATTTCGGCTCAGTATATATGCTCCATACATTTCTCAGTTCTCATAGTATAATTGTGCAAGATACACTGTAACCTGAAAGAAGTACAAGGTGGGAAAGGTGCAGCTCCAGTTGCAAATGGGGTGTGCTTGTTTTAGCTTGCTTTAGATCAAGGGCTTCAGAGAAGGGCATGGACATTTTTATTCTGTCAAAGGTTTACAAATGTTTTCCTTATATTTGGGGAATCCAGAGTCCACGGTGACATAGCGACATCGTGAAAAAAGATGGTACATCACTTGAGATGCCTGTAACTTTGGCAAAGGGGCTTTTTTTGGGGGGGGCCTTTAAAATAGATTATGCCTTCCCAAAGGAATAGAATTTGGTTTTCTTACCAGAAATCAGTAGGAAGTTGTACTACTGATGTAGAGCCCTGTTTCAAAATTTCTCAAGGAGTCCCAGATCATATGTAATGGAATCCACATGAATGGATAGAACCATTTCTCCATTATTTAAAAGCCGTAGAGAAGATATGGCTCATATTCCAATGTGAGTGCAACACTTCTCATGAGAGAGAAGAGTAGCAATGTTATGAAAGACTGGATGAGCCTTTTATAAAATAAATGATTACCTTACCATTCTAGTTATTGCATCATAACTAGACGGTCTTCTTCAGGTCAAGGTTGACTCTTGGTAACTTCGTGGTCACATCCATGTAGTTGCGTTGTCAACACTGTGGAAATGATTTAAAGGTAAAGGTAAAGGTAAAGGTTCCCCTTGCAATATATGCTAGTTGTTCCCGATTCTAGGGGGCGGTGCTTATCTCTGTTTCAAACCTGAAGAGCCAGCGCTGACCGAAGATGTCTCCGTGGTCATGTGGCTGACATGACTAAACACCAAGGGCGCACAGAATGCTATTGCCTTCCCACCAAAGGTGGTCCCTATTTTTCTACTTGCATTTTTTACGTGCTTTCGAACTGCTAGGTTGGCAGAAGCTGGGACAAGTAACGGGAACTCACCCCATTACGCAGCACTAGGGATTCGAACCGCTGAACTGCTGACCTTTCAATCAACAAGCTCAGCATCTTAACCACTGAGCCACCACTTACCATTGCTTTATTCAGGCATGTTTTAAAAAAACACAATGATGTGAGCAAAAGAGGAATTACACCCTCAACGTAGTCAAGTTTGATTATGTAATCTTGTGAGCACTCTGTAAATTACATGTACATATATGTGTTCATTGTCATCTGGCTAAACACCATGCAGATCAATCAACTACTGGAAAATGATCATATCTACATTTCAGTTGTATCAGCACTATCCTGCCCAAGCTCATGAGGCTGTACCTGTGCGAGTGGTATAGCAGCTGCTCTTGGGAGCCCTTAGTTTCCTGATAGATATGATAAATGAAGATAAAACATGCAGGTAAAATAATGGAAGAGCATAAATTGACAATGTCTAAATCTTTCTTTCCATGGATGGCTTTTCCTTGAGATTTTTTTTTTTTGCCTTACGTTAATAGTAAAGGCATGCCAAATATATTAATTAAATCTTCTAAACAAAACTTTTAAGAGAAGAAGCCACTGTTTGAATTGCGAGGTCTCCGTAAAAATCTCAGTCAAAAAAAAAATCATGCCAGTAGATTTTTTTCCCCTTTATGTATCTCCCAAATAAGCAATTTGCTCAGTCTGGTTTTAGTTTTTGTTCCAATTCTGAATTACCCTATACTTCTTGTGTTAAAATATTGCCTCTATTCAGTTAGTAAAGATTCCTATGAAAGTTTAGGAATTGGAAAAATGAGGAAACAGTCAGTTGTCCTAAAGTGACCTTCATGAAATTCCATCCTTTCTCCATTAGTATTGTATACTAAAAGCCTGACCTTCCCAGCCATACTTAGATAACTTCATTCCTTTCTTTTACTATCCCAATAATTTATTTATGACTTTGAATTCAAAAAGTGCTTTATCCCTCTTAGAAAATCTTTTTTACAAGTTCCCAAAATCATGAATAATTGTGGGAGGAGGACTCTGGTCTGTTTACATATTAGTAGCCTTATAGTTCAAACATAATTAATTTAAAACTGGTTCACATTTTCCAGAAAGGAAATCAGTATACAATGGGGAAAAGAAAAGCAACACAGAACTCATAATTATGTGAAATAGATACAATGAGTTACAACATATGTTTAAATTTCAGTAGTAGGGTTTTTACAGGGTTTAAAGCATGGCGCTTCAGAAGGTTGCATCTTGTCTCTACCAACAAGGAGAAAAGATGATTAAAAGAATGGGGCCTCTACTCTTTCAAGACATGGAGAACAGCTTCATATATTTCACTACAATGCTTCATCCTTTGGGGCTATCAAGTCTCTTGCAAGCATGGCAACTGGATTTGCAACTAATGTGAAATAAGTTGCATGGTGCCAAATTGATTGATTGATTGATTGAGTGAGTGAGTGAGTAAGTGATTGTGTGCCATCAGATCTTAGTAACCACACAAATAAATGTTCTCCACAACAATCTGTCCCTAACTTGGTCCTTCAGTGAATAATAGAATAGAATAATAGAATAGAATAGAATAGAATAGAATAGAATAGAATAGAATAGAACAGAATTCTTTATTGGCCAAGTGTGATTGGACACACAAGGAATTGGTCGGTGCATATGCTCTCAGTGTACATAAAAGAAAAGATATATTCGTCAAGAATCATAAGTTAAAACACTTAATGAGAGTCATAGGGTACAAATAAGCAATCAAATCATATTAGGAAACAATCAATATAAATCGTAAGGATACAAGCAACAAAGTTGCAGTCATACAGTCCTATAACTGAGCCCATCCACCTTCCTATTAGTTGTCCTGTTCTCTTTCCTTACACCTTTCCTACTATTGGAGCTTTTTCTAAACGAATGTGTGTGAAAAACTCTTCCAATGAATAAAATTAATGATATTATTTCAGTTATAAATGGGCAATAAATCAGCATTTTAAAATCTAAATTTTGATCTATACAACTTAGGAATTTTCAAAATTTTCAAGGCCACAACTGCCTGCTGTGGGCTTTGGCAGACAAAATAAAGAACAAAGCTTAAGCTGAGCTTTGATGACACTGCCATTTGGCCTGTGTAATCTTGATAAATTTTTCTGATCCCTCCCAAGTTGCTTGCCCAACCCACTGCAGTAATGCGTTTCTTGCTGTAGTTTTGAAATACAAGGGATTGAATGCACACATGGCAGGTGACAGGAGTCAGCTGCCCTTTAGTTTCATATGGTTTGAAATCTAGTTGCTAGTAAAATACAGGTTTCTCTCTTCTACAGATTTTCTGCCTTTCACATTTTGAATAACATTTTTGTTGGTGGTGGTGGTGGAACTAATTGGTGAAAATTTTGCTTTTAATTAAGTTGTTAATTTTTACAGTGAAACAAGATTTTTTTTCCTGAAATAGGTCAACATAGTGCATTTTCATTATTCTTTGTTGCAGACTAAATAAATTGAGCAAACCTTTACAAATACATCTTTTCCTTCTCTTCTATGAGCTGTTGATTGTGTTGGCCTGCAAAATGCCCTAAGTTGTGTGAATGTTTAGGAACATATAATTTTCTTAGATGTTGGCAAATGACATCTTTATTCGATGGTTATGCTATGCTATGCTATGCTATGCTATGCTATGCTATGCTATGCTATGCTATGTTCCCCAAAAGAACATAATATAACATACCCTCTATAATAGGACTATCAAACTCCCGTCCTGTGGCACACGTCACACACTGGCCACGCCCACGCCCGCTTTAGTGAAGGGGGAAAAAGTCCCTATACGTCACGTGATGCTGCCGTGACAACATGAGTTTGACATCCCTACCCTATAAGATCCATGTGCATGTTTATCAGTGATGAAGACAAATGGTAGGTGGCAAGCAGACTGCAGAAGACCATTTGTTACCAGAAATTCTGATGGATCATTTAATTTATAAAAAGAAATTACTCCATTTATGTTTCCTATATTGTCATGTTTCATTTGCTAGATGTAAAACAAGATATAAATCTCTTTACTGTGATTTTGTTGTTGTCAGGGTCTTATTTTCAGGGAAACACGGTAGTTGTGTTTGTAGGGAAAAGCTGGAGGAATCCTATTTTCCTAGCAGATAACATCAACATGGCAATTTTATTGAAGATTGTTACCTATAATAATGGCTATTAGAAAGGTTTTCATTCTTTCTTGAATTATCTGCTATGTAATTGTTCTTCATATAATTTTAAGGGTGCAGATAATATTTGTTTCAGTAATTTTAATTACTGTAATTAATTCAGTAATTTCAGTAATCTGGACCTCAAACAAGATTGAAGAGATTTGCAACCATTGACTAGGAGACTTGAGAGTTCGCCCTTAGTTTGAAGCTATGTTTATACTTTAATTGAGCCACTTTCTAGATGTAGCTCAGGTTTCTTTTGTTTGTTCTGGTTTAAGAAATATAAGTAATTATTTAGCTTTTGATAGCTGTGTCTTCTAAACCTACTCTGATTTTGCAAGTTAGGTAACCACAGTAAAGAAGTAAAACACAGGCAAAGGAGACAGGTCTTTTGCACCCTCAACAGTGATACAGCAAAGATTCAGTTCTATAAATTTTTGATTAGGTTACATCTAATAAAATTATTTCTTCTGTACAGCTAGTAAATATGTGGGTTCAGGTTCAAAATGTTCAGTGCCATTTTTTTCAAGGAATAAAGGCTCATCGTTTTCTGTTTGTCTTACTACCTGCTTATCTAATCATGGACTCATTTCCTATTCTTCTCTGTTATTCTTTCAAATGGTAAAGGGTGGGGTTAACCCTAAGAGTAGGAAAGTTCAGCTGCACCAAATGTGGTTATAAGATTCGTGGTTGAGGTCAAGTCTCTTAGGTTATTTGGAATGCTAATAATTCCTAATAATCTAAGAGGAGAAGAATACACTGTTTCTTCAAGGTCTGTCCCATTTAAACACCTCTTCTGAGCAATGGACAAGAAGGGAATGTGCTCTTCAGAATTGGCTTTCTATCAAATTTGCTTTTTACCTCATGCTTTATGCTGTTGCAAAAAGATAATAATATAGAATATGCACAGCTAAGACAGCCAAATACTCCTTAACTCCCACATAAGAGAAAGATAAAACATCAGTGAACAGAACTCCTGTTACAACTTGGTTTCCAAATATAGTCATTTAGCTTCATATTAATTAACTAGCCTTAAATAACTTCATACTGAAATAGCTTTTGTCTCTTCTTAGAGATGAGACTTGCCCAGTCTGGGGCCTCTCAGAGATGTCAGTCAGTTAGGGAATGCACTTAGACTTTTTGTATGACAGTCTTAACTGTCCAGACTTTGTGCCGATCCAGAATTCCTTCTGCCTTGTCTAGCTGAGAAAAATTGGCAAATTAAATCATATATACAGAAAGAGTTTACTCTCAAAACAGAGACTTGGATGAAAAACGGGGTTGATTCTTCAGAAGACTGGTAATAAGACATGGTATATGGTATTGTGAAGAGATGTTTCCAAAATGTTACAAAAAGAATCAAAGCATTTTTGGGAGGTAGGAAAGAGGGCAAAAGGGAGAGTTATGTTATCCTATGTTGTCTGAGGACCACACAGGCACTTCATGAAAATCCACAATATTTTTCAGCCCCATCACCCTGAGCAATTGTAGCAACTTCAGAATAGTTTTGCTTTTTATTACAAAGAATGAATGATCTATCATTTCCTGACAGACTGTTTTTAATAAGAATGAAATTCTTGTTGCCAAATTAAAAAAAAAATCCCTCTCACATCTTTAATTCATTAGATTGGAGATGGAATAATCATTCCAAGCACATGCTTCAAAGGTTATTAGATTTTTCAAGGCATTCACCCCTCTGCAGTTGTCTGAAACAGTAAATCTAAGCACTAGTTTTTCCTCAGTGGAGACTATCTTTCAAATATATGGTATTTTCATAATCTAGCTAAGCGGGGGGGCGGGGATCACTCAGCAAAAAATGTTGTTGCAGTAAGAATGACCTATTGTCTACTGAAAGGTGTGGGGTCTTTTTCATCTATCTCAAAAATAATAATGTTAGTGACCCCATATGATAGTTTTAGATATCACCAGAAGTTTGAAAAGCTTGCGAACTGCGCTAGGAAAAAACTAGGTGTTTTCTTGGGTAAAATTTAAAACCAATCTACTTTCCATTGGAAATGCCAAGTAGTCAATGTCCTAACCGTAACTACATAAGTTTCAGATGAATTTGCAAATGAGAAAACTCTAAGCCTTTTGCTCTATTTTGTTTCTTAATTTATCTTTTTACTCTGAATTTTCTCCCAAATGCATTCTTCAACTCTTTCCTGTGTCCCTCTTACAGTTTAACATACAGGTTTATTTGGTGAGGGGAAGGGAATATTATTCAAATAAACACTGCCAGGATACAGCAACTGCTATTAAAGATTGTTAAAGACTTTATTTGTGGAATTAAAAAACTGAGACTACCATGATTGCAAATGAAGTGCCAATGAAGATTATTTCATGCCAACAGAAGGCAGAATCTAGCAGAGCTTCATTGGTCTCAAAAACAACTAAGCAACATCTGATTAGAACATAGATGGACTTGATTTGAACCACTACAAAACCAGATCTGTAGATAAGATCAGGAAGGCAGACAAAGCTGCTGGAAGAAGCAGCACAAAAACTACCCACTGTTGCCAGAAAACTGCCTCAGTCAGCAGGAGTTGAGTTCAACTAAAGGATGATTTTTTTCCATTACCACAGTAGAACATATTGTTTATTTCTATCTTAAACATAAAAAAAGTCATTTCTTATATCACCCCTTTTATGGGACAACTATGAGGAACAAGGTAATTATGTGTGGTCATTTTTTTTTCTTCAAAAGGTTAATGAAACTCTTTATTTTGAGGTGTCCTTGATGTGCTCTCTGAGCTTGCTTGTTTTCTTGCAGACATTTCATTACCCTACTAGGTAACATCATCATTAGCACTGATGATGTTACCTAGTTAGGATAATGAAACATCTTCAAGAAAACAAGCAAGCTCAAAGAGTACCAAGGACCCCTCATTTCAACCCTGAGCTACAAATATTCTCCTTTATTGGTACTCTTTATTTTATTTGACTCTGCACCACTTTTTAATCAAAATGAAATGCATATCTGAAATAGTAGTTACTTTTTCCAATTCACATGAATAGAATTAAATGAATAATATCTTCTTCATGTGTTCTTTTGTAGCACAACCACCATGCCTTCCAATATCAGGATGACGGATGGACTCATCTCTGTCAACCCATCTATTTGGTTCTCAAACCAGGTGGATCAACAGCCACACCCAGACCTTGCATTCCACCATCATCTCAAAAGTTGTGCCCTTGAAAGCACCATAGCATCACTTTTCATTGTCTCTGTCTTCACAGCAATGGCTTCTGTTCTTTTGGATCTACTGAATCCTTCCTGACAAAAGAAGATCTTTGAAGTGCAATATCCAAAAAGGGAAAACAGATAACATTCACCTGATGATATATCTTCTCAATTCCTTGCTTTACCTGGGCCTTTCAAGCAAAGAAGTGCTAGCACTACTAACTGGTATAAGACTTTCTTGCCCAGATGGTTTTTTAAAAAACACTAAAGCTTTATTTTGTATATTAACTTAACATCTTCTTTTTGTAGAAGGATCTTTATTTCCCATACTGCTATGGGGTCTGTAAAATATATGTGTTTTATATATATATATAAATATATATATATATAACTATAAAAAGAACAAGATAAAATAATGTATTTATTGAACTGGCATTTTGGTCCTTGCAAAATATTAACTCCATCATTCAACCAATAAAACAGCATAATGCTGTGGATATTCCAACTTGGAGGTTTTAGGGTCATGGTTTTATGGATTGTTTAAATTACCTATTATTGTCTATTATCAGTTGTAGTTTGAAGCCAAGGGACTTTCATACTCTACTATTTTCTGAGTCAGTAGAAAGAAGCTAAATTATTTTCACATGCTTCTGAATGAGACAGGATAATTTAACTAATTGCCTTAAGATAAGTATGGACAATAATTACTAATAGACATGTTTCTTTTATTCTACAGGTATATTTTATGTTATCTTCAAATGTAAAAGATGTTTCATCTAAGACTAAATAATATGGCATAGAAATAATTATTTGAAAATTGACATTTTCCCCCCATGTTTTCCTTTTCCAGAGATTTTAAATCTTTCCTATGCAGCCAGCACAGTTAGAAATACGTTTTTCTTTAAAATTAAAATGGAAACTGTGATTACTCAAAGAAGCAGATAAAGAATAAGACTAGTGCTAATTTGTTCTGCCTTTCTTCTATCTCCTTTTGCATATTCCAGTTCAATTAGTTGTTGCTACTGTTTTTCAGTACTCCTTACTATATTTTCCTTTGACATTCAAATTTACAAATTATTGTTTACTCTTATTCTCTGCTTAAACATGTGAACTACCTACCATATTTCTCGGAGTATAAGACGCACCTTAGTTTTTGGGGAGGGAAATAAGAAAAAGCTGATTGGCAGGTGGATCGGCCTCCCGGAATACCCCCAATCAGCTGTTCCCAGAGGTGAATTTTAGCAACAGGTTCGTTGGTTGTGAGCTCTGTGCCTTGCTTTTTTTCCTGCCTCTGAAAGCCTCCAAAACAGAGCTTCAGAAAAAAAGCCTCTGAAGCTCTGTTTGGGGGCTTCTTTTCTGAAGCTTCGCTTCTGATGGTTTTTTCAGCCTCTGAAACCTCCGTTTGAGAAGCTGGGCAGGGCTACATTCGGAGTATAAGACGCACCCAGATTTTCACCCTCTTTTTTGGGGGGGAAGGTGCGTCTTATATTCCGAAAAATACGGTCATTAAGGCTTGAAGGATTAGAGTGCAATTCAATTTATTTAGTAATTCTGTCCTATAACTATCATCATTTTATTAATTTACTTCTTTTAAAGTAGTCTGATCATTTCTTCATTATCACCCCCTTTTGATCCTGCTGTGTTAGAGGTATTGGACTACAAAAATTCCTGACCAAAATTTCCACAGATCCCTAAGTTGAAGAAGACTTGTTTATATGGATGTTACATTTCCTTAGCAGACCTTGTGAACAGCTTGGTTCCCAATACAGCAAACATTTCATTCATTAGCCGTTGCAAGAATGATCAACGAAGTCATAATACATAGTTCGAAAGGACAAATCAGGCAAATCATATGCCAATCATCATAGAGTTTAAGCAGTTTACTGATAATGTATGGAAAAAATAAATACTGATTCATATATTATTCAAAATCAGACATCCTGTTTGATTGCCATCCGGATATTTATTTGTAAAATTGCAGATTTAGAATATTCTGATAGGCTGGGGTGGGGGAGATAGTAAGTCATTAAGGTCACAAGTGAAGGCAATGTCAGCATTCCAGAAAACCCCAACTCCAAGTAAAAACGCGGAAGCAAGCATTTTCCAAAGTTCTCTCTACTAGAATAGATAAACTGGCACATCTGGGAAAACCCGAATCTGAAAGGTCCAGGTTTTCCCTCAGTAAATCAAAACCCCCAAAACCATCCCCACACTCCTCAGTCGATCACATGCTCCAATCAACGTCCGTCCCATCTCGACTCAGCACTCCGACCAGTCCTTCTCCAGATGCCGGATCGCCCTGACCTTGACTGACAGGAAGAATGCTATTATGTCTACCAACAACCCCTCTACTAAATCCCCCCTCCTACTTTCCCACACATGAGAAGGTGGCGGCATGGAAGCTTCCAGCCTAATATGGCTTCCAAAGCTGACAGGCATCACATAACCAGATTTGAAGTTTTAACTATTTTACAGTAGTTGTTAAGCAAACAAAGCAGTCATTAAGCGAAACCATTTTCCCCAATTACCTTTTTTTTTTTTTTTTGCTAGAAACTGCAAGTAAGCATTGGAAACTGGCAAAAAAGTCACAAACTGTGGGATGCTAGAAACAACCATAATGATAAACCAGTTGCCAAAGTGTCAAAAATGTGATCGCGTGAACAGAGAGGTATGCACAGCCATTGTAGCCCCAAACTTTGGAGTACTTATGATTTACTCCAAAGATCATAAGTTCCTCTGGGGAGGTCCATCCTAATTTCAAACATTTATTAGGTAGTAGTGGTCATAAGTCAAGGATTGCTCCTCTGAAAAGCACTCCTTAATAAAATATGTGTCCACAATAAAACTGGGATGTTTATATTCTGAAAATATAGGGAGAAGGGTATCAGGAAAAGCAAGAAAACCTGATTCTTCTGAATGCATAAAAATATTATTCTTTCTCAAGTGTGTTAAAATAAGTTAAACCATTTCTGTTTCACACGACTTCGTATCTTTTCAGAAAAGTCAAAAACATGTTCCATTCATTTTTTAAAAAATGCAACATTCAGCCTGTTCTAAAATGTGCGAGCTGATGGTTGTTTATGTTGTTTTCTCCAGGACAAATCATAATATTAAAGAGAGAGTAATATTTACTTGTGAAAATTTCAGACATAGTTGACACAGAATTCAGCATTCTGTGTTTTACCTTATAAAAGATCTGGGATCATTTGTCAACAAAGAACCATCTTCCCAACATTCTTGAGGTATAATGGTCCACATATTGAAAACATACTTTTGAAAATTTTATTCTGGTGTTTATTTTTTCACATGCTTATAAACACAAAGTCTCTCTCTCACACACTCACACACACACATATTCACACAAATTCTACATCTGAACTAAAAAGTAAGCTAACTGATTTAGTGGGACTTACTCCTAGGAGTCTGTGTTTTCAAAGTTGGAAGATGATACAAATGACAAAGGAATTTAATGAAGAACTTTTGACTACTTCAGTCAAGTACAACAACCAATCAATGAATGGAATCAAGCTTGGGTTTTCTTTATTTGTTTGTTTTTAACAGAATCTTGGGATCCATCAATTATAAAATTGTCTAGGAAAATTAAATGACACCAATTTAATTAATTTAAAACATCAGTGGGGGGAGGGGAGTTGGCCTTTCCAAAATGTGGGTGAGATTAGGATAAACAAATATTTTGACCTCAATTGAACCAAAAATCAATTAGATTTAAGCCATTTTTCATTTTTCTTTCTTTCTCTCTCTCTCCCTCCCTCCCGGTGTGAATTTCAGTGTGGGTTGCACAAGCTGTAGAATAAATTGATCTGTTCCTTGAATGTTGCTGATAATTATTTTTAATGGCTACGTGTGGTATTGCTTGTTTTGAGATGCTGTTGATTTTAAATTCAAACCTAAGGCACATGGGCTAAAGTTTCATAAACAGCCTTAATGTGACAGTCTCTTATAGTTAAATAAAAATAATGATCTACCTGGATGTTTTTTCTTCCGTTTTATATTTTATATTTTAAAATACCAAAGTAAAACAAACATATACATATTTAAATTATTTCTAATGCCTTTTGTTAAGTGCCCTTCTGCAAAACTATTTTAGAAATTATGTGATTTTGAATAAGACAAACCCAAGTGCATTATAAATATTATTTGCACAAGTGTCTAAATTTTATCCTTAATTTTTTTTCAACTCTTCAGATAGCAAATTTTGACTCATTATTATTTCCTTTTGTATAATCAATGTGATTGTTTTCACTGTTGTTAAGTTCTGCTGATCACCGGTTGCCAGCAGTTTGGCAGATCGAATCTCACCAGGCTCAAGGTTGACTCAGCCTTCCATCCTTCCGAGGTTGGTAAAATGAGGACCCAGATTGTTGGGGGCAAAATGCTGACTCTGTAAACTGCTTAGAGAGGGCTGTAAAGCACTATGAAGCGGTATATAAGTCTACATGCTATTGCTAATGCTATATTAAGCTCTGCTGTGGCCCCAGTGTTTTATTACCCCATCAAAATCCAACACTGTATCTTTTTTTTAAAAAAAAGCAGCTCTCAGCTCTTACACCTATAAATGACAACAACAATATTGGGGTGGTTTTCTTTCTCATTTTCTCACCAGATTTTGTAATTGTTATGAGATTAATGATAAAAAAGATGCTCTCTAACATTATTTTGTCAAAATATTTTTGTAATATATGAATAAAAATCGCTATGATTTCACAGCATAGTAAAGGTGACGATCATATTGCTGTTTCTTCTTTCTCCTTTTTAAGAAGCATGTATTTTATTTAAAAAACTTGCCTTAACACCAGGATTATCATTTAGAATACATTATTAAAAATTATATAATGCAAATGATTTATAATTCAGCTTCAAAATGGCTATGCAATGTTATATTTACATGATCATTATGCCCCCAGGCTCAAACTGGACTTCAGATTGGTTACTGAACTTAAGTGGTAACAGAAGAGGGCCAGTGATGGCTAACCTTTTCTGGACTGAGTGCCCAAAGCGTGTGCGTGTGTGTGCAAATGTGCACGTGTGCCTGAACCCCCAAAATGCAATGCACGCATGCCCAGTGCATGCCCCCACTCCCGCACATGTGCCACGCCCCCACACATGCACATGCCCCCGTGCATGCACATGCTCCGCGCATGTGCCATGCCCCCATGTGCCACACCCCTCCGCATGTGCCTTGCCCCTGCGCATGCGTGGCAGAGACCCAAAGACCAGCTGGCCAGTGGGAGGTGAGGGCGCATGCGCAGCAGAGCTGAACTGGGGCAACGCATGCCATAGGTTCACCATTACAGAATTAGGCAATCCATAAACAGAAGATTGTGATGTCATGTGTTATTTACTTTTTAGGAAGTTAAATAAAGCAAGTAAAGCACCAGGATCAGTCCCAGCAGCCAACAACTGGCCATCAGCATTCTAGACAAATCATGCAATTGGTAGCCTGACATTCTTTTTCCCCTTCTTGAAATTGGTGTCATAGGTAACCATCTAGTTTGCCTGTGAATAAGCTAATCCTGATAACCAATTCTAGTCAAATTTATGCAAACATTGTTAATTCATGTAGCCCCCAATTCTCTACTAATCCAATGCCAGATTTCCTACATGGAGTGCAATGATTGGAACAAAAAAAATCTTCCTATAATTGGTTATACATCCCATATAGGCATCCCATATAATTGCAGGAATGGAAATTCCATTTTGGGTGCAGCAAATTTCCATATCCCTGTTAAACTCTACATTTTTTGAATAATCCAAAAAATATCTGAAAAAGGAAGTCTTGAGTTAATTAAGCCTTGAATTAACTCTTGGATTTTTTCTTCTTCTAGTTCTTATTCAATTTTATGAATGAAAAATTGTTAGATAAATTATAACAATTCTAACAAATTCTTCCCTTTCAGAGAAGAATTATGTATAAAATATGTATAAATTCTAATGGATAGATTATGGCATTCTTGGATTAATTATAATGTAGCCAAAGAATGTGAATATATGAGGATTTATTTTTTAAAAAAGTATTTATTAAAATACACAATCATAAACCAAAGCAATACAAAAGGTTGAGCAAAGCATATAAAATACAAAAATTCAATTAAATCTATTTATATGCAAAACTAAGCATATTTAGAATATGGTCAGTTTGAGTAAATTTCTCTTTGCAAAATTTGGACACCATTCTAGAAACCTCCTAATGTTGGTCATTTAGAAAGTAATGTTTTTTGTCGTGATATTGGTCTGGTAACTTATGATAAGAGGGGAAGTTAACTCTACCCTCCAAGTTTGACAAATAGGGCATTTCAAAAGTACAGTATATATACCAGTGGTGGGTTTCAAATTTTTTTACTATCGGTTCTGTGGGCGTGGCTTGGTGGGCATGGCATAGCTTGGTGGGCATGGCTTGGTGGGTGTGGCATGGCTTGGTGCGCGTGGCAGGGAAAGGATACTGTAAAATCTCCATTTCTACCTCACTCCAGGGGAAGGTTACTGCAAAATCCCCATTTCCTCCCGATCAGATGGGACTTGGGAGGCAGAAAATAGATGGGGGCGGGGCCAGTCAGAATTTTTACTACCGGTTCTCCGAACTACTCAAAATTCTAGAGAACCACTACCGGTTCTCTAGAACTGGTCAGAACCTGCTGAAACCCACCTCTGATACATACTACTTGGATTTCCAAGTCCCAACTTGGAAATCTGAACAGACACATAAACGTTCTGGGTGTGGAACGTTATTCAGTTCTCCTAGTAACCATTGTTGGGAGTGCATCCAAGCATGACAGTGTGAAAATCCTCCTATTGCACAAGATAGATGATAAAAATATTGAGGGACGGTAAAGTGACTGACAGATCATTATTGTGGATATATAAAATATTAATTTTGTCTCTTTTCATACCGAGGTCATGGATTCTGTGTTTGAGCTCTGAACAGGCCTATAATAGATACAAGGTGAGAGCTCGGTGCATCATAAATCATTTTAGCTGTCATTTGTTTCTTCTAAAGCTTTTGATGTCTATTTGGGCCAAAGATTCACCCCACAAAAATTTGTTTAAGTCAATGCTTCAGCCAACAAAACTATAAGCAATCTTAGCCAGAGACTTATGCAATCATCATGCCAGTAGCCTGCAATCTCTATAGCTTCCCGTGGTTTTGTTCCTACAGGACAATATCATGCTTATCTAGCCCATTGTTCTTTTTTCACTATTAATGTTACTAATGTAGTAAAGGGAAAGTCCTGCCTCTGAGAAATCAATTGAAAATTTATGTATCCCCTGAGAAATGCTGAGAAGACATCCACCCAATTCAGCTGCCAAAAAGCTTGATGGAGAATTTTGAAAGACTGTTGGTTTGAAATTTAATGCGTTGACAGATTTTATCAAAGAGTTGCCTTTTAGCAACTCTTTGTGAGGATTGTATTCCATCCAGTTCCTGAGTTAACACTTCAATAATTCATTTCACAAGCTATTTAAGCAACATCGACAAAAGCACAGCAAAAAGCAATTGAATTGTCATCTTGCCCAAAAGAAGAAAAGGGTGGAAATGAGAAATTATTTTTAAAAAGAGTACATTTATTTTTAAATTAATTAATCACTTCTGAGACCTGCAGGACGCCGTCCCAAAAGTTTCCATGGGAGAGTTTCCTTGTTCATAAAATGGCTGCTACAGTTGAATGATCAGCCACAGGGCACCCATTTGTCAGAAAAGAAATTGCTGAGGATGTTCCCTGCCACTTCCTTTAGCAACTCTTTCCACTTCAGCTGGTGGGCATATTTCCAAACAAAGCACCCAATATTTTTACTTACTGGGAATGCCACGTGGGGCATGAAAGCATTCTTTTAAAAGTAATGGTGAAGCTGACATTTTATTTGAAAAGAAAAAGTCTAGATTTGTTTTTAATTAAAGTATCAATAACAAAATCAGGTAGGATAAAAGATTCACAGACATCAAAAGAATTTCCTTACACTAGTGTCCATGTAGCATCAAGTTATCAACTATTACTTTGAGGAAACAGAAGGTCATCCAAACTTTGAAAGTCCTATGCAGCTTCATAATTTAAGGATTTAGCTTGACTGAACCTAGCCAGATACTAAGACTGGCAAGAGATACCTTCCTAAGGATATCAACACATAAGAGGTCCACTTGTTGGACATATTGGAGAAGATCTGTTCTCTTATGATGCTCCCAAGTGATGGACTGGTTCAAGAAATGCATATATCCCCAGTCCTTCCATCTCCAGAAAGAAGCTCAAAATCTATATCCAGGCTTTTTCATTTATATTATTAAACTTTTTACTTTTTACAGTTTTGTAAACTTTAAGCATTCTGTAAGTATAAAGGGGAAGAAAATAAAAGAATAATAAATAATACATAGTCAGCTAGGTTTATGAGAGAGAAAGGAGAGGTATATCGTGAATGCATATCTGTTATTTTGGTTACTTAAAAATCTTTGGTATCTGAAGTAAAGACTCCATACTATTTTGAATGTATTTCAAATGACACTAATATTCCATTTTAATAAAGCATTAGACCCACCAATCCATAACTGAGACAGAAAACTTTCCTCAAAAGTGACTAGGTATCCTCAATTACCATGATACAAACAATGTCATAAAAGAGGACAGACTACCAGTATACTGTTACCTCAAGCATGAGAACACTTTTTTAGGCCTCTGTGTTAAAGAACTAAATTTTTATAGTGGCTCTGAATCCTGCTGATTGTATTTTTTTTAAAGAATTAATATGGTAAACAGATTCATTCACATCCAAACACTGTGATTATATATACATAAAATTAAAATAAAACAAGTTAACACTCTTATGGTGTGAGAGAATATTTTTTTTCTATCCATTAATTTGAGTTTTTATTCCTTAAACTATGTGTTTTTGATATTCAACAAAAATGTTTCTCTAAAGGCATCATGTGCACTTTTGTGAAAATAATATGAGGCATTAAACTCAGCAGACAGTTAAGAAAGCTGACAATTATGTTTGTTGTAGTCAGCTAAAGCAGAAATTCCTCTTTTTTTAATATCATTGGGGCAGTCTCACAAAAAATGGGACAAAGATTTTCTAACATTTTAGATTTAGGGTAGGATGTAGGGTTGTTTTAAGCAATCCGTAAATTAGATTTTTTTCTCCTTATACATAGCACAATCTGATTCAGATTTAATGTATAAATTAATATATTGTTCCTCAAAGGCAGGTTAATAGCTGGAAAACAGTACAGCTTGGTGTTGTAAATAGCATTATAAATAAAACAAATAGTTTTGTAAAACATCTAAAATTCACATCTACAGCTTTCTAAAATTAATAGGGGAAGCATTATATCTTAATAAAAGTTTATGAACTTTAAACATTTTTCTACCAGCTGGGATCTGTGCATGAAACAACAACAAAGATTTTAAAAAATGCATTTCATCATTTTAGTTCAAGTAGTTCTGCTGAATATGATGGGTATAATGGAAAATACACTTTCATTCATATATTCTATTCTTGGAATATATTGTAAGTTTATCAGTTTATTCTCTTAGGTCCTGCTCAACACATAAGAAATATGTATGATATTAGAAATCAGACAGAGAGAAAAAAATGCCATAAACATAAAGTTTGTTTTCGTATGTGACTCTACTAGGGGTGAAATGCTCGCAGTTCGGACCGGATTGCCTGATCCAGTAGCGATGGCGGTGGGTGGTTTGGAGAACCAGTAGCAAAAATCCCTGCGCGCGCCCCCCCC